GGGCCCGGGGCGCGGTGCCCTGCGCTCGCAGGTCCGGGCTCACGACTCGCTCCGCTGCAGAAGTGCCTGCGTCTGGACCCAACCGCGCCCGTGTGGGCCGCCAAGCAGCGTGTGCTCTGCGCCCTCAACCACAGCCTTCAGGACGCGCTCAACTACGGGCTATTCCAGCCGCCCTCCCGGGGTCGCGCCGGCAAGTTCCTGGATGAAGAGCGGCTCTTGCAGGACTACCCGCCTAACCTGGACACGCCCCTGCCCTATCTGGAGGTGCTGGGCAGACCAGGGTGTGGGGGGGTGGTGGTGGAATGGAGCGCACTGGGTGTGATCTTTGAGCTCCGTGGCTGGAGCTGTGAAGGGCAGGCCGGGAGGAGTTGGCAACAGGAGCGGTGGGGGGCTATGTGCAGCCTGAGCAGTGTGCTGAGAGCCAGAGGTGGGTACATTGAGTGCAGCGGGTAGGGTGAAGTGTGAGCTGCATGGTGTGGTAAGTGGTGTGTTGCAGCTTAGGCGTGGAGAGCGGTGTGAGCAGTGTGTAGAGTACTTGCAGCAAGCAATGTGTGCAACCCACAATGAGCACCTGCAGCACATGCACTCAGCATGCGTGGTGTGAGCAGTTTGAACACCGGAGGGAGAAGTGTGAGAAGGGCTGAGTGCCTTAAGGGTCGTGCAGTGTGAACAGTGTTCTCTGTGTTCACATTTTGAGTCTCTTGCCTCTCAACCCCAAGTCTTCTGAGGTTGGCGAAAAATATGAGCACCGTTTATGACGCATAAAGGTGATTTGAGTGCCACTCCAGGATGGAGATTCAGTCCTCATTGGAAGGTCTTTGTGTGTGTGTGTGTGTGTGTGTGTGTGTGTGTGTGTGTACCAAGGTCAGAGTTGGTCTGATCCTCGTGGTAGCGCCAGGAATTGGGTTATTTCTACTTGGAGAGAAAGTGTCTAGGCATAGAAGCTTAGTTTCAGATCTTGGGAGAGCAGTCAAGTTTTCCAAGTCCTGGAGGTGGGAATGAGACAGACAGGCTGCAGGCCTGCCAGGCCATGAACTGGCCGAGTGAATACTGTCTTCTCCGGACCACAGATTGTTTCTGTGCTGTGGACAGTCAGTAGCTTCCAGTTGTTGTCTGTCCCCTCTGTAAGTGTGTGTCTGGGACTTGTCTGGCTGTGTTGCAGTGAGAGTGTGGGCAGGAGGGTGGTAAGCAGTAATTAGCCTGCGGTGGTGGCCACCACCCCTTGCTCACTGGACCTGTGTGCGCGCCTTCTCTCCCCCTTTTCTTTATCCGAGCAGTTTCGATACAAGCGGAGAGTTTATGCCCAGAACCTCATAGATGACAAACAGTTTGCAAAGCTGCACACAAAGGTAAAGAGGCAGTCGCTGGAGGGGACTCCCCATGACCACTGCCCCTATTCAGGTTTGGCCCAGTCTGCTCTCCCGGAAGTGGGTTTCAGGACCTGGTCCGGGGCTGGGCTCAGGCTCCATGCCCATGACTGGTCCAGTGATGGGTTCCGGCTAAATCAGAGTTTTGCTGGTAGAGGGGTGAGTGCCTTGTTTGAAGCTGGGAGAGAGGGAAGCGAGTCAGTGTCCAGTGTGTCGTCTGTGAGGACAAGAGGTCCAGTGGTTAGTGCTCCTTAGTAGGAGGAACACAGAGTTAGATATGTCATTAATTCCCTCCCGGGAGGGATTTGCTACCTCATTTCACAGGTGAGGCAGAGGGGTTGAGTTACCTGCTGTGACTGCCCACTGCCCAGTGAAGCTGGCCCAAATATGCCTAGTAGGCCCTGTGTGGCCTGGGTACACCTGTACAGTGTCTTTGCTTCTTGGACCTGAACCCAGGTGTACCTGATTCCGTTTGCTTCTTTTTCTTTTTCTTTTGGGTTTTGAGGGAGCACTACACTCTTATGGGTGTCCAGAGGGCAAGGAGGGTGTCCTAGGCCTTTTCCAAGTCCCCCAGCTCCGTGGGCAAATGGGAATTAGCTTGTGGGAACTTCATTGATGGTCTCTGGAGCTTTGGAAAAGAACTTTGTGACCCTACCTCAGGTCCTAGATCGTTGGGCTTCTGTCAGACTTTTTTGCTGTTCCAGGGCAGGTGACAGTCAGTGGCTCTGGCTCTGTATTGGGCAGAGAGCACGTCAGAAAGAGAGGTATCTGTCTCCCTCCACTGGCCCTTGTGTGACCCTATCATCCTGGGTTCTCTAGATCTTTTCTCATGGGCCCACAGACGTGAGGAACTAGCTTTGCAATGAGTCTTGTCTGTGTTTTGGACGAATCTGAACTCCTCCCTGCAGCCCTGTCCTCTTGCTTGCCTGGGGTCCAGCTGTCCCTACCCTCTCCCCCTGTGACCTCGAGGCTGCCTTAACGTTCTTCCTAGATGATTTGCCTAGGTTCTTCCTCTGGTTTTGTCACTCTGACCCCTTGATACTGGTCCACCAGGCACCCACCCTCTCCTGTCTATGATACCCGCTGTTTTTAGATGCCTGGGCGGGGACACCATGCCACCAGACAAGGCTAGTGAGACTTTGCTGGGTGAGGGACGAAAAGACAAAGTCACGTCGTGGGTGCTCCAGGGGTCTATCATGGAATGTAGGAGGAGCTGGTCAGAGGAATGAGGCTAGAGTTGTTAGCCTTTGGCTCCTGTCAGCATGGCCTCAGTGTTCTTTTAGACTCAGTTGGGGTCTGTGACTCAGGTGACCTGGCTGTGTTGAAAGCGGCCAGGCTCAGCCTGGGTTTGTAAGAAGGGCTTTGAAAGCACAAGGGTCTAGCCAAGATGGAACGGGCGTCGGGGTAAAAGTGTGGGGTCGAAGATGAATAAGACGACAGACAGGTTAGACAGAATGGGGCTAGGGACAGTGTATGCCTTACAGGTGGTCGGGAGCTTGCTGGAGGAAGGGGGTGATGGGAAGATGACCATGACCGCGACACCCCGCTGACTGGGATGGTTGGTGTTCTAGGCAAACCTGAAGAAGTTCATGGACTATGTCCAGCTACACAGCACAGACAAGGTGGCCCGCCTGCTGGACAAGGGGCTGGACCCCAATTTTCATGACCCTGACTCAGGAGGTAGGAGAAGAACAGGGAGGGGGCTATTTTGTTTTTTTTTTTTTTGTTTTTTTTTTTTTTGAGCGGCTGGGACTCTTAACTTTTATTTATCTCTAATGACCCAGAGTGCCCTCTGAGCCTGGCGGCACAGTTGGACAATGCTACCGACCTCCTGAAGGTTCTTCGCAACGGTGGTGCTCACCTGGACTTCCGAACCCGAGATGGGCTCACAGCTGTCCACTCTGCCACCCGCCAGAGGAATGCAGGGGCATTGACGGTGAGTGAGGGCAGGACCCCGGTCTGGAGGGACTCATGGGCTCATGCCGAAGGCCGGGCCTGGCATGGATCCTGAGGTGCCTTATCCTCAGACCCTGCTGGACCTGGGGGCTTCACCTGACTACAAGGACAGCCGCGGCCTGACGCCCCTGTACCATAGCGCCCTGGGGGGCGGGGATGCCCTCTGCTGTGAGCTGCTGCTCCATGACCATGCACAGCTGGGGACCACGGATGAGAATGGCTGGCAGGAAATCCATCAGGTGAGCAGGGGTCCTGGGCTGGGTGTCCAGGCTGTAGGCCTCTGTCCGGGATGCTTCAGTACCTCTCTTCTTCTCAGGCCTGCCGCTTTGGGCACGTGCAGCACTTGGAGCACTTGCTGTTCTATGGGGCCAACATGGGTGCCCAGAATGCCTCGGGAAACACAGCCTTGCACATCTGTGCCCTCTACAACCAGGTATGCCTGGAGAGTCACCCCCTCTTCAGGTTCATTTACATTTTTTTAAAAATATTTTATTTATTTATTATGTATCCAACATTCTGTCTGCATGTAAGCCTGCAGGCCAGAAGAAGGCACCAGACCTCATTACAGATGGTTGTGAGCCACCATGTGGTTGCTGGGAATTGAACTCAGGACCTTTGGAAGAACAGACAATGCTCTTAACCTCTGAGCCATCTCTCTAGCCCTCATTTACATTTTCTGTGTGTAGTAAAGTGGGACTGTATGCCTGCACACAGGTGACCAAACATCCCAGCCTGTGTGACACTTTATGTGTATGTTCTGTGCCCGGTCTGGTTACTGGGTGGCCTACTTCAACATATCTGTTTTCTTAACACACGTGTGTCAGTATGTCCACGTGGATGTTCTTAACAGCTCGCTCTCCGATGAGAGCTGCTTACATCGCCCTACCTAGCCTAGGTACGCGTCTCTGTGTGTGCGATTCCTGTGCCCTGCACACCTGTGCATGCCTATCCACGTGTGTACCTGCCATGGTTGGCCCTGCCTCTCCGCGGCCCAGTGTGATTGTTGCTGCCTCCCAACAGGAGAGCTGTGCTCGTGTCCTCCTTTTCCGTGGTGCCAATAAGGACGTCCGCAATTACAACAGCCAGACAGCCTTCCAGGTACAGGATGTGAAAGGCTGGCCCAAGGGGTTGCTCGCGTGTCCTGCTGACTTTGAACTTGGATTCTTCTTCAGAGGGCAAGAAGGGAGTGCTCGCTCTAAGGACTGCCACCGAAGGTGGAACTATGAGTGGGCTAGTGTGGTGCTCAGGATTTGAGGGGATGTTTGGTGTGGTGTAGCACGGGTAATAAAAACCCAGAGACAGATATTGGAGTTCAACCTGAAGATCAGAAAAGCAAAGCAGCCAACCCAGTAGAGAAGTCTTTCCTCTATCGAGGCTGGGTGATCGTAGACTAAGCAGGCAAAGCTGACTAAGTCTCTCTCCTCCCATTTTATATTCCCTCTAGTGCTGGAATTAAAGGTGTGAGGCACCACCACCTGATCTGTTTCTGCATTACTCTTTTGTAGCCCAGGGTGGCCTTGAACTCACAGAGATCTATCTGCCTCTGTTTCCCAAATCCTGGGACTAAAGGTGTGTGCCATCACTGCCTGACCTCTATAGTGGCTTAGCTTTGCCCTTCTGATCTTTAGGCAAGCTTTAATTATTAAAATATAAATAAAACATCTCTGTAGTGTGGTGGTTGCCTCTGCCCTCCTTCTATGGACAAATGCCATATGACTCCAGGACTCTGGGGAAGAACCAAATGGACAGGTGTGGTGGGCCCGATTCCCCAGAGGCAGGCAAGAGTGCAGGGGACCGGCTTGAGAGGGTATGTGACCGCTACTACACCTGACTTGACCCAGATTATATTTCTGAACTGTTAGTCGCCAGGCTGATTGGCACTGGATAGCCAGGTAGTTCAGGTAGCTATCATCTCTGTGGCCTGGAGTTTTGGAGGAGTTGAGGGTATCATGGGAATTTACGGACCTTGAAAGCAGCGGGGAAAGGGGTATCTATTTATTATTATTACTTATTATTTATTATTATTATTATTATTGGCTTCTCTGTAGCTTTGGAGCCTGTCCTGGATCTAGTTCTGTAGACCAGGTTGGTCTTGAACTCACAGAGATCCGCCTGTGATCCTCTGCCTCCCGAGTGCTGGGATTAAAGGCATGCGCCACCACCACCCGGCCTGTATATATTATTCTTAATGGGAGCACAGGCCCCTGAGAATGTCAGAAAGGCAAGCTGTTAAGGCCGTGTCTGTGAGCGTAAGGTAGAGAGGTTGAAGATTTGGGCACATCTGGAAGTAGATACACCAGGGTGTATTAGATGGGCCAGGTTTGGGGACATAGGTAGGAAGAATGAGGGCTGAGAAGCTGTGGGGCCAGGATTGATATGGGAATCATGGTTGCATATAGGGATAGATTACAAGTTCTACTATTGTGTTCAGGCTTGTTCATGTTTTAACTCGAAGCCTTGTGTCCCAGAAGCACTCTTGGACTTAGGCAGATGAGGGCAATGGGCCAACCCTAGCTCCTGGTATCCTGTCTCCTGTCCAATAGAAGTGATGTGTCAACAGACATGCACTGCTGTGATTTGAGAGAAGGGTGGCTTTGGGAGGATCCCAAAGGAGCACCTGGGGCTTGGGGTGCCTCCCTCCTTGCCCTCCATGTGTTGATTTCTCTCTCCCAGGTGGCCATTATTGCAGGGAACTTTGAGCTTGCTGAGGTAATCAAGACCCACAAAGACTCGGATGTCGGTGAGTTCTGCCCACCCATAGATCCTTTCTGAATGTGCTGTGGTTGTCATAAGCAACACCCTGGTGGTGTAACAGGGCCTCCATACTCCAAGACAGTTGTCTGCCAGTGGCCCTTGCAGACATGGGAATGCAATGAAAAATGGCCTGTGTGGAATGGACAGAATTTTTGGTCAGGGCCGTGAGCAGGTCTGGGCTCTAGGCTGTGACGGCAAGGACCCTGGTAGTCGACATCTAGAATGGGGCCTGTGCTTCCCATTGTGTGCTAGAGCAGTGTGTAGCTTCCTGTGGCTTTCCATGTGACATGATTCCATGAGTATAACCTGCGGAGAGAACAGGAGGATGAAGACTGAAGCGGGAATAGGCTTGCGGCTATCTCCTTCCACAGAGGGTTTGAGCTCCCAGCAGGTAGCACATAAAAGAAACTTGGCATATGTGTACGCGCTTGGAGGAGGACCAGAAGCTGCATGTGTAGTTTTTGCTTCAAGACTGGCAGGGAGAAGCATAGGCATCAGCCTATATTTCGGTGCATGTGTGTGAAAGAGAGAGAGAGAGACAGACAGACAGACAGACGGACAGAAAAAGTGTGTGAGAGAGGTGTGGTGTGTGCGTGTGCATGTGTGTTTGTTTCTGGAGCAGGCTGTCTCATCCTGGGTACAGGCGAGTAAGTCTGCAGGGTACTGTGGGCCTCTCCTTCAGCACAGGGTTGCTGTCTGGCTACAGCCATGCTTTCTAGCCATAGGGATCCCTTAATGTTCTGGGTAGGCTTTTCTGCCTGTGACTCTTTCTGGAACATGGAGCCCCAGGCTCCCCTTTCTTCTGTGAGCGTTATTTGAAATGTCCCCATTTCTTGTTTCAGTTTGCAGTGACACTGGGTAGCAAAGGGATGGAGCTGGCATTAAGGTTAGACTATTCCTTGGCTTATGACAGTCTGGCCTGGGGGTTCATCTTTGGATGGGGTTAAAATTAAGGTCAGTTTCATGTTTCAGGCACCTCCTTGAGCTGCTCCTTGCTAATAAGGCTTGGTCGTGCGCCCCTTGAACCTTGCAAGGTGGGGCCATAATGGTGGATGAACCGAGGGTGGGTGGCTTCCCCAAGAGAGATCCTGCAGCAGTGCTAAGTGACTTCATGATTCATGGTACAAAGCTGGGCCCTAGTTCAGGCAGAAAGGTATAGTTTTTGGGTTATATGAGCGAAAGCGATTGCTCCAGTTTGCTTGGGGCTGACAGCATCAGAGATGGAATTTTCTGGGATCACCCTGTGTGTGGATGCCTCATTGCCTGATTGTCTAACCTTGAGAGAATTGCTGACATCTGTGGTACCTCCCTTTGTCATAAGTGAAATACAGTGTCTTAGGTACCGCATCTTCTTTTCACCTTGGTCTCCTATAGCATTTGGTCCGGGAAGGGGCTGAATTCTAGGAAGTGACTTGTTTGTAACTGATTTCGCAAGAGATGAGGGACTTGTATAATATCTAGGATGAGACGTAGGAATATCCCTCTGCCCTTTGTCGTAGGATTCTGGGGGGTCACCAGAATCTATTTTATCCAAGTGGCCTTGCTCAGCTGGGACTAGGCACATCGTTGCTGAGTGGAGTGGGCATCTGTGTCATCTGTTCTCATAACTGTATGCAGCACACATTCTAGTGTGTTACAGCCTGTCCTAGTTAGGTTTCTGCTGTGATAAAACACCATGACCACAAGCAACTTAGGGAGGAAAGGGTTTATTACAGCATACACATTCCAGTCACACCCCATCAGGAAGGGAAGTCAGGATAGAAGGCAGGAACTGAAGCAGAGGCCACGGAGTCATGCTGCTTACTGGCTTGCTCCTCACGGTTTGCTCAGCTTGCTTTCTTATAGGTTTTAGAATCACCTGCCCAGGTGTGGCACTGCCCACAGTGGGCTGGGCCCTTCCACATCAATTATTTAATAATAACAAAAGAAGTGCCCTGCAAACTTACCTCTAGGCCAATTAGATGGAGGCGTTTTTTCATCTGAAGTTTCTTCTTCCTAGGTGACCCTGACTTGTGTCGAGCTGACAAAACACTAAGCACTGAGCCTGTGCAGTATGGTGTGCTCATGAGATTTACTATGGATCTCAGTTCACCTTCCTAATGTTCTCTTGTGAAGCTGATTATTGGGTCTTTCTTTCTCTTTCTTTTTTCCTTCCTTCCTTCCTTCCTTCCTTCCTTCCTTCCTTCCTTCCTTCTTTCTTTCTTACAGAGAAGAAACCCAAATCTTAGAGGGTTAATGAGAAAACCTATCAGAAACCTGGGGACTCAGGGTCTGGGTTGCCCACCTCCCTCTGCACATATCCACCCACTCTAAGGACATTTCTTAAGTGATAGCTCTAAGTTACTCTGTCTCCCTCTGGGTCTGTGGGGCCCCACATAGGAGCTACCTGGAGCTCTCTGCCTAGCTGTCCTCCACTTCCTTCCTCAGGGTAGTGTCTTACATGCACTCACGTCGTGTTTCAAGAGACACCTCCTTCTCTTGGCATCCTTGCTTCTCCTTATGGACCAACAGACCCTTGGGTGGGACTCTGGTCAGTGGCTTTCTCTACTTCCTGTTTCTGTTAGCGGGCTATGGCTTTCAGGCACCCTCCTGTGTACACAAAGCATTCTACCTATATATGCTCACGTGGACTGCCCAGCTCATGCTTTTGGTAAGCGCCTCAGGCAATGCTTCTCATATGGTGACGTCAGAAGGAGAGCTTGTTCAGTGTAGGTTCTGAGTCTGGGCCCTGGTGTGGCCTGAGCGTCTATACTGGTCACCAGCTCAAGGTGAAGCCTGCTTGGCCGATCCTGGCTCCACGCTTTTTATAATAGGTGTAGACAATCTTGTCAGGCAGGGCTGCAGGCCAAAGCCTGCCCACGGTATAGTTTTTGTTTTTAAATCAAGGCGAAATGTTCCTTACTTAAAATTGATTACTTTTATTGACAATCCGGCAGCATTCCTTACATTTACAGTATTGAATGCCAGTTTTGTTGAATCCCAAAATGTTTTCATTGCTCCAAAGGATACCTCAGATATGTTAAGTTCTGTGTTGCCCTCTTCCCCAGCCTGTCAGCTGAGAACATAATTTCTCTTGGCATTTACATGTTATTGCTGTTTCGTATCAATGGAATTACACTATTACCCTTTCTTTGTGCTTGGCTTCTTTTACTCATTGTGGCTTTGAACTTCATCTGCCTTGCAAGATCATTTCATTCCTTCTTATGGCTAAAATGTATTCTGTTGTCTGTGTGCACAGTATTTGGCTTATTCATTCGCCTACTGGTGGATATATAAGTTGTTTCTACTTTAAAACACACACACACACAAGTGTGTGTGTGTATAAAATTGTGTATGTTGTGTGCATGTGTGCCTGCCTGCTTGTCTGTATGTGTACAACATGGAGGCCAGAAGAGGATATGGATCCCCTGAAACTGGAGATACAGATGGTTGTGAGCCACCCAGTGTGGGTACTGGGACCCAAACCTGTGTCCCTCTTCAAGTCAGTATCCACTCTTAAGAGCTGAAACCATGCAGGCGGATCTCTGTGAGTTCGAGGGCAACCTGGTCTACAAAAGCTAGTTCCAGGACAGGCTCCAAAGCTACAGAGAAACCCTGTCTCGAAAAACCAAAAAAAAAAAAAAAAAAAAAAAAAAAAAAGAGCTGAAGCCATCCCTCCAGCTAGTCTCTACCTTTTGATTTATGAATACTGTTATCACAAACATGTTTGTACATGCATTTATATGAATAATAGTTTACACTTCTTTTGGGCTTATCCCGAGGAGTGGAATTGCTAGGTGATATGATAGTTCTTACATTTTTGAAGAGTTTCTAAACTGTTTCCACTAAACTTCTTTCATCTATGCATGGGTTTCTAGCTTCTTTACCTTCTTCCCAATGCTTGCCTGCTTTTTTTTTTTTTTAAATTGTAGTTACCCTGTTGGATATGGTGTGGTATTTCATTGTGGTTTGTGGTTTCCTAATGCCCGATGCTATTAAGCATAGTCTCATGAGTTTGTTTTTCATCTGTGTGTCTTTGGAGAAAAATGAAGGCCTTTACTCACTTAAGATTTTTTTCTTATTGTTGAACTATAAGAATTCCTTATTTACGTTGAATATGTTAAAGAATATAGGGCCAGCAAGATGGCTTAGTGGGTGAATGTGCTTGCTGCTAAGCCTGGGAAATGCACATGGTGGAAGGAGAGAGCTGACTGCTTCAGGACCTTGATGTGTTTCACAGGGCCATGGCGTTACGTTCATGTATGTACATACACAAATAAATAGATGCAACAAACTAAAAATACATTGGATATGGTTTTGGTTTTGTTTGAGATAAGGTTTCACTGTGGCCCAGGTTGGTGTTGAACTCTGTATGTATCCCAGACTGGCCTCAAACTCTTGAGAGGTCTTCTGCCTTAGCCTCTGAGTATCTGGATTACATGAAAAAACAAAACAAAACAAAACAAAACTACCATGTCCTGCTTTGTTTCTTGCCCAGATTGGTTTTGAATTCTGGGCTCGGGTGATCTTCCTGCCTCAGCCTCTTCAGTAGCAGGGTCTATAGGCACTTGTTATCATACTTCGTTTTGTTTTTTTAATTAAAATTAAAACAAATTCTCGTTGGGCGGTGGTGGCGCACGCCTTTAATCCCAGCACTCAGGAGGCAGAGGCAGGCCGACCTCTGTGAGTTTGAGGCCAGCCTGGTCTACAAGAGCTAGTTCCAGGACAGGCTCCAAAGCTACAGAGAACTGTCTTGAAAAAACAAAAAAGAAAGAAAAAATTCTCATGCTTTTGATGTTGTACCTAAGACTCCGTTGCCAAACATGCGGTCGCACCATTTATCACTGCTAGAAGAAATCGTTAAGCATGCTTACATTTTATGGAGATTTTAGTATCCCGCAACTCCTAAAGGGAGGCTGTGCTCCGCTGGAAGGAGCAGAAGGCCAAGAATTTGTAGAGACAAGACAGGAAAGCCTTTGTTTAGAAGTTAGCTGGCTGCTCTGATTA